ATAAATAAATAAATATATATATATATATATATATATATATAAAGTGATGGCCAATACTTCCCTTAGTAAACTTCAGGACTATCCATGCCAACAATGTTGATTTTGCAATTCATTTAGGAGATCACAAAATATAATTTTGTACATTCAAAACATGTGAATTCTATCTCGATGAACTTGAAGGAAATCATCAATCCATTTGTCACATACTGAGGAGGATGTCATAAACAGAGTTTTACACAAATAAGTTTGATAGTATTCATTAATGAGATATATTGTAGTTGCCAAAATGATTTTTCATTGAACTGTCTTTATGTTTTTCTCTTTATCCATCATATCACTTCTAGCATTGTCAATAGATTTGTTTTACCACATAATTGTCATAAATTTGAATGGGATATTAAATATAACAACTAGTAATGATAGAAGGGTACCAATAACTTAATTAAAGTATTGTGATGCTCAAGAAAATGACGAGGTAAAAATTATTACACAAATTGAATTAACCACATAAATTGGGTTAATAAAATTGAATGTAAGTTTGCTTAAATTCGAGCTTTGGATGTGATTTTTAATCGAAGTTTAAATTTTTCTTGCTAAAAAATTATCCCGAATTCATATCATACCTCGAGATTCATCACAGATGACAGCAATTTGCCTTATAAAATGAAAATAAATAATAAAGAAAATTTAGGATCACATGAATTGAATCCGTCCAAAACATGAACACTTAAACTAATGGCTGACAATGAAGGTACTGTCACCGAAGCTTCTCTGACTGTACCTTTTTTAGAAATAATGGCAGCATTTTGGTTGAATGTAACTTGACAAAATCAATAGTATGATGACAAGAATGATTTGATACTTTCATCAAGTTTCTTATTCTTATTCTTATTCTATTTATATTTTTACATTATATATGGTGCTTGGTGCTTTGAATATAATTTGTTTTTATTTATTTAATATCAAATAAAGTGATTTATATGATGATGATGGTGGCCATTGGTAGAGGCCTGAAGAGGTGATCGGTCGGGTGGCAGCTGGCAAGACTACGATACTTAAGAGGTCAATAACGATCGGAACTGCATTGTTGAATAAATATTTAATATTGATAATTAAAAAAATAGTTTTAATCATTTGGCATTTAAAAAAAAATGGAAATCTAAAAAATTGACTTTCGGAATCTCGATTTTAGGTGATGTTCAGGCAAAATCAACTTTCAAGAGGTCTATTTTATTTGAAGTACCTTTTTTTTTCCTTAAACCATGTTATTTTTGGCATATTCATCCAACATTGATTCTACACATAACATATATGAATCCATGGTTTTATTACAAATTATGTCCATTTGGACTTACTTATAAATAATAAATACAAGAACCATCTGTAGAATTCAGTCTGAACTGCCATCAAGATTTCCCTGCCTGCAAGAAGTCTAAAACTACTGCCGTCACGACACTCGCCAAACCTGCTAGTCCCGCTGGTGCTTAGGGGAAAGAAGTGATGATTG